GCTGAGTCTATGAAATTTGGGTTCAGCATTTTGGATGAATTTTTCGCCATCAGTTTTTACTAGTGCTTCTTCGAACAGCAAGGTAAACCACTTGCCAGTGAGTGCTGTCATTTGGAGAAATTTGAAATGTCCCTTTTTACACGCCATCAAGTAAGACTAAATGCTAAATTCTCTTAAATTTTATAAGTGCTTTAATGATTACATTCGACCTCTATTTTAAAACAAATTGTAGAACAAAAAACTTAATCTTCTAACTCCTTATTAATACAAAGGCGTTCACTATAACTTTGTATTAATTAACTTTACAACTAAGAAAAAAGGGCGACAAAGTATAAATAAAGAACTTTACATACCGTCAGGAAATAACCTGGATGAAATATAATATCCCATAGTAAGCTACTAGACTTTATTATACTTAAATCAACTTTCAAAGCCAAATTTTTTGTAGTGAGAAGTAAATAAATTCTCTAGTTATAAAAGATTATAAATTGCTTAGGTATTTCAGCTTTGATACTCGTATGTTACTAAATCAACTTTCAAAGCCAAATTTTTTGTAGTGAGAAGTAAATAAATTCTCTACTTATAAAAGATTATAAATTGCTTAGGTATTTCAGCTTTGATATGTTACCTCAGCATTTACTTTTTACAAATAGCAAACATACCCATTTTTAGTTAAATTTACATCCCTGAGTGACATCCTAATACATTCGGAAATATGAATTTACGGAAATAAGTTGGAATATATCACAGGGCATAACTAGATTTACTGGAGAAAATATAACATTTTTTCTTAACTGTGTGTTGCCAAAAGTGACATCAGACTTTATCTTGATCTCAGCCCACACGATCAAAATACTAAACGAGAGAACTTACGAATGCCATCGCTTTTGCCGCAATCTTTGTATGGGATAACATGAATTAATTTTTATTATTTTTCATTCTTCTTCATCAGCCTGTAGCAGTCCACAACTGAACATAATTCTATCTCGTTTTTGGGAAGATTTACCGTAATCAAAAAGCTAGTTAGGAATATTAGCTTAACCGATATGGTATCCCGCCAACTCGTATATGCTGGGCCGTGTTTGGCCACAAGGTCTTTTTCGGCTTTCCTACGGTAAGCATAAATATAAAATATATACTGCAGTTTTTATTTATTTTCAAAAAAAAAATAATATAGTTCGATACTCAAATTGTATATTAAGAAAATATTTTAACGTTAAAATCTAAAAAAATCTCATACAAGTTTTTGAATTTATTTTATAATACCTAAAATCTATGATAGTTTAATTATGAAGAAATATATACGTTAAGACGTATCCATTATGAAACGCTATCGAGGTCATTGAGCAGTTTCGTGGCATTCCTTGGGGGAGACCTGTATTCAGAGGTGGACATAATATGATGTGCTGTAATGATGAGGAGTTGTAGGTTATAGATTGTTTAATTTTCGTCATTAGTCGTGACAACGCATCTACAGCATATTTTGCTCGGAATTGGCTGCCAAAATCTATGTCCTGCAATGCTCACTTACCTTATCTATCACTCTATCATTAAAATATAAACTTTTTAATAAAGAGTAAATTGCATTGGTTATATTTATTTTCATAAATTATAATTTGGGGTGTAATAGAGAATTTGCTTTATTTTGTCCATTGAGTTATATGTACTAATTCTGTCCAAATGCCAATCTCATCTGTCGCAATGCACTTTGCTGATCGACGAACAAGTGTGTGGCTACTGGGCGATGTCGGAAAATGCTTTGGAAACAATTTTAATTTTTTTTTTATCGCGAGTCTTATTCGGTGTCGTGATTCTGCAAGTCGTGGTAAAAGTATAGTACATGTAAAGAGTAGCAAGTGTGCAAGTAAAGAAGGTTGTGCTGCGGAGATGCTGTCCTGTATCACATCTAGTCACGGGGCAGTATGTCAGCAAAGTTCGGAAGAGGCTAAGTAGTAAAATTAAAAATTTTGTACATCCGACTTCAATATAAATTATTAACGATCACTCAAAAATTAATGTCAGACCTTGATCAAATTTATATGGAACCTCATGAGAAGCACCAATTTTTAAATAAAAAAGGATTAACAAATTCGGTACACCTAGAAAAAAGTTATAAGGTCACACATAAAAAAAATTATATGTACAGTCGAATTGCGTACCTCCTACTTTTTAAAGACGTTTAAAAGTACGACGCGCCGACAGTGTGATATTTATATAAACCATTTCGAACTACATTTAATCCCCCCCCCCTATTTTACCTAATAAAAAGGTCTGGAAAATGTCCATTTTCATCACTCACTGAATCACTTATCAAAAACCCAGGTCACTTCTATGTTACTTTGATAGGTAGATCATTAGGCGTATACAAAGGCTAAAATCTGAAAACTACAAATTATCAATTCTCAGGGTCTAAAAGTGTCGACAAAGTTATTGGTGCGGTTAGATCCAAGTACTTTTCTTGAAACTAACCGCACCAATAATTTTGTAAACATGATATTATATTACATCAATACTACTGACTATAGACCCTATGATTTAGGCAACTGTTATGGAAATTTGTGCCAGTACAGATCTCAACTCTTTTAAAAAAAGCCGAGAGCCATGACGTCCTTCGTACCAAATTTCACCCCCTTTTATCATTTGTTTTTGGTGGAACAAAACTAATTTATATTACTTTGTCTTTGGTAATTTTGTTTTATAACATGCATACTTTTCTTTGACTTTTTTAATTTAATTTGTGGGAATTTATCTGTTATTTCACAATATAAGCTTTAATTTAATTACTTCCAAATAAATAAATAAATGAACACAAATAGAATAAAATTCCATGTTGTTTATTATTGCCTATATTTTTATTCCAACTTCAAATCATTCACGATCCGTTTCCAATATTCCATTATATAAGGCTGGTAATGAAAAACCCAGTCAAAAAATAAAACAAAGCCCCAAGCGAACTAATAAATCAGTGACAGAGGTGTATTTTGTTAGAATTGCCCGGCATAGCTCAAAGGGATCCTCTGGTAAACTTGTCTGTAAAAGGTACATATTTATTAAATGTTCAGATATATTTTATTTACTATAGTCTGAATTTGTAACTTTATTTAAATACAATACAAATATCTTCGTCGCTGACTCGAAAAGATCTACTTTTCTTTATGACTTAACTTCTGTACATTTTTTTATTTTACTAAAGCACAATAAAAGTTCTGATTTACCACGTGCTCGGCGGTGAAGAAAACATTGTGAGGAAACCTGCATGTCAGAAAAATAAAATAAAAAATATTTAGAAGATGTGTGAGGTCAAGTCCACTGATTAACAAAGGTCTCTTCTAAGGAATGCTCAAAGCACGTCTTTGAACCACCTGCACCCATCGAGTTTCTGCATCTCTTTTCAGACTGTCACTCTGTCTAATACAGGTCAGCCTTTAACTTCGCTTAGTAGTACGAGCCTGCTACTCGAGTTCCATCGGTTCTCGGTGCTTTAAACTATTGCCTCGCATCATAATTTATATGCATTCCCGAGCCATCAGATCAGTTAAACTTAAACCTATGGATATAGAATATATACGAGTATTTAACTGTACATTTTATCTGAAATTAAAATTTATCTTACGAAATACATAACGACGAAAATTTCAAAAGCACATAAAGGCCTGTAACATTTTTAGAAGCGTATAAATATTTATTTATTGGTGGTACCAAAAGTATTTCGACTAATTATTTATTATTATGGCAAAGAAGAAGTATAAATGTAGATATAATAATATATAGAAAAACTTTCTGAATCGTTGTCAATGAATTTTCCCAAAAGAGTACTTATAAACATAAATAATATTTTCAAAGAAACTGTTCAAGAATCATTAATATTAGAAAGTTTTTCTTTTTCCCTGCCTAATTGATATCCAATTATACTCGACTTTAACGGCTGAAGTATTTCATATAATTAGTAATATTATACTAAGTATGTATCTGTACAAAAATAGTATAGATGAACGAAGATCTAATTTCTAGACCGTATTAATTTCAATTTAATTAATGTAAATTTTTTTCTTTCTTTGTGGTGGTGACATGTAAGCAAGAACATCGCCCCATATCATTCCGTGGGTGCCATAAGAGGTGGCTATGGGAAAAGACAGAACAATCTTAAGGCTTCGGATTGATGATGTTCAAGACCTTCTTGACCATCTCGTTTACACTAGACGTAAAATTTCCAGACAGCAGCGTCAAAGTTGCGAGGAGTCAACAGTTACATGTTTCTTGATAAAAATTTGTAGGATAAGGAAAGATAAAAGTTAACAGCTCTTTTCATTTTATTTTTCTTAAAGTTAAAAAATTCGAAATGACAAGACGTACATCCCACTTCTGGACAAAGCGCTTACTCCTAGACTTTTTTATAGGAGAGGGGGCAAACGAGCATGGGGCTCACCTGATGGTAAGTGATTACCGCCGCCCATGAACAACCGCAACACCAGGGGAATTGCAGATGCGTTGCCGGCCTTTTAAAAAAGAGTAGGCTGTTTTCTTGAAGGTCTCTAAGTCGTATCGGTCCGGAAAAATCGCTGGTGGTAATCGATTCCACAAGGAAGTTGTACGAGTGAGAAAACTTCTTCTAAATCGCACAGTGGTGGACCGCCAATCATCCAGATGGTATGGATGGTATCGCGAGTTTTGTCGCGATGTGCGATGGTGAAATTGAGTGGCTGGAATTAGTCTGAACAATTCTTTTTAGAAAGATAGATGCGATAAAATACGCAAAGAGATGCAACATCTCTACGCAGTGCCAGTGAGTCAAGCAGACCGGAAAATACTCGGTCTTTAGGCATTATTCACCTAATTTTTAGTAGTACATTTGTGCTCCTAATTAAATGTAGATACGAGTAACTTGAAGTTTCGTTCACGTCTTTTATTCAAATTTAAATCAACCGCTCATGTCCAGAGTTCTCAAAGCCTAATTTACGAGTGTAGTAACATATATCAAATTATTTGTTTTTTGTATACAGAAACGAGCTCGCCGGTTCAAGAACCAAATTTTATGCGACTTGCACTTTGCGGACGTGGCGCTCATGGAGTGCAGTGACTTCATGCAACAACTGCGCAGCTTCAAACCGCAGTCGCTGGGTTGCGCTGTCGCGAGGCGCAAATCCTCAACCACGCTAATATTTCCACTTCCACCACAAGCTTGTTCAGGTAACTTGATTTTTGTATTTGTAATTCAAAGCTCTCTCTAGGCTTAAGAACATGCTAGAAGTTATCTCATTAAGACAGACTATCGTAATTATCACGGACTCAAACACACTAACAAAATATGAAATATTTATTTACCCCTAAGCTTTTCTGTTAGAAACAGAAACAAAAACTTTTGCATGCCGTAAGCGCCTAAGCGCGTCGGTATGTTCTACTAGGGCCAAAAAATTAAGATTCCAATGTTGTTTTTTTAACTCTTTAGTTTAACTTTCACTGGTTTGAAAAAAACCTCTGTCCTGGGAAGAACTGGCAAGAATCCCAACGGGACTTTTGTTGACTTTTGTTACACAATTAACAACACAAAACAAATCAGATATAGCTTGGTAGCGATCAACTCATTACATGATAATGATATGTTTCATAATATGATTAGTGTAGAGAGTCGGGGACCCTTCTTTACTAATAATGAGTCATTTTATCTCAGCCTTGGGGGGTGAAAACGCATCTGCATTTTGATTCTCAATCGAGGATAGATGCAGATGTCTATGAGCCACAATATTCGCTTACCATCATGTAGACTGTATGCACGCTTGTCATCCTTATTCTATTCGAAAAAAGTAAGCCAGTCCGATACTAGACAGTAGCAACATGCATCAAGCCGCTGAAGTCTAGTAAGTAGGTTCACCAAACACACAATGTTGGTATGTATATATGTGTGTGTGACTGCTGATTGTGTGGTTCAAATTCTATGACGTGCCTACATCGGTTATTAGGTTTTTTTTATCTCGGTAGCAGCTTGCAGTCAAGCTCGGAGTAAAGCCGTTGGCCCTGCGCCTGATCTCTTTCACGTCATGTCGGACTGCCGCCACACCGGTCTTTAGCAGTGAGGCTAAAGGGCAGTATCTTATCTCTGCATACGCAGACATTCACGCACTATAGTCCTGTCTTGTGCAGATGGCTTGTATCCGTTGAGACCGAGCGCCGTGAAATTCGGAATAACTTTATTATAATTCCATTGAAACTGCTTAACTTGATCCTATTCGCCCTATTAAGAAGACTACTACAAAGCACACCAATACTTCTTATGCACCACTACTTACTTCCAGTTTATGCTTATTAGCAAAAACTGGAAGTACTTTAGTGCAACGACAATCTATAAACATAGTTTAATACATGGTAGAGCCATACTGCAGCTATATTAGTAGTATAGTTGTAGCACGAATGGGTCGGCTCGACCGGGGATGGACCACGCTCTCACAGAATACCAGCGTAAAATGGCAACTTGACACTGCTGTGTTTCGTATGGTGAGTGTGGAGAACCGGATTTTCCTGGAACATTTTACCATTTTACTGGAAAGGAGGATTTCCATCTTAACCCTCACGGGTGACGACGCATCTGTATTTTGATTCTTTATTGAGGATAAATGTGGATGTCTATGGGTCACAGCAACCACTTACCATCAGGTGGACTGTGTGCTCGCTTGTCACCCTATCCTATAAAAAAAAATTTGTCCGAAGGGACGGCAATACGACACGACTGGTGAGAGTTCAGGCACGGAACCAAGGGATTAACGTGCTTTCCGTGGCACCCAGTAAAACACCGCTAACTTCCTGACTCTGCTACTGAGAATTTTTTGTTAGAAAAATGCCATAACTTTGGCCCAACCGGGATTCGAACCCAGGACCTCTGATCAACAATCGCGTTTACAGCTACTAGACCAATGAAGTAGTCCCTTAGAGAAACAAACACCCTTTTTACTGGAAACGAGGCATTCGATGTAGATGTCTATGGGTCACAGCAACCACTTACCATCCGGTGGACTGTGTGCTCGCTTGTCACCCTTATCCTATAAAAAAATATACACTGTTATATATCAAGATAATGCTGGCTTAGAACTTTCCTTAAATAATAATTTTCAGCATAAAGTATTAATAAATTCGTAGTAACGGCATTACAGGGGCGTTCTTCCAATTTTCTGGTTAATTGACAAGATTAAACTCATCAACCATTTGCTGCCCCTGTAATTCTTACGGAATTCGCGTAACAGAATAATTACATCCAATTTTACTGTCACTGAAATGAAGACAGTGCCTGGAGCTTGTGACGGATTCAGTGTTCGGTTAACGAGATGTAACCTTAATTAAAGCTTCTATAGAACAGGATTTTGGATATTTAAGGTTTATTTTTTTCTAACGCCTAACATATTGCAATATTTATGTATACGAACACTGCGTTTACTATAACTACACTGCGGTTGCTATAACTTCCTGATTTACACCCATTTTATTATCACCTTAGAGCACTTTTTCGAGCTTTAAATTCACAACACACATTTTGCAAAGAAGTATAAGCATAAGCATTTGTAAACTAATAACTTGTAAACAAGATTAATTGAATATTAATATGAAACATAAATAGTTTACAAGTCAATTTTTTTTCGTAGCTGTTTAGATATTTAATATCCTACCGGCACATTTGATTTACATTATTTTGATCAAACCAGCTAGTGTATCAAGGTTGGATTTCGCCTATTTACGTATTTGGAATGTCGGCTGTGGCTGCATTGTGTCCCGTCAACCCCAGTCGGCTGGCGGCTAGTCAATAAATGTCAAACGTAAATGGAGGAAACGTGTTCACAATAAGTCACAGATCCATTCTATCCTTTATTTAGCGTCAGCCAAAGTGAGTGCAAACTAAATTTAGTATAAACCACAGAACAACATTTTGATACATTGCCTTAGATTTTACGATGTTCAGTTACAGCATCTCTTTTAATATTGAATAACTTTTCTTTTTTTTTTGTATTAGCAGTCTGTTAATTTATGGTCCTTCCAACCGATTAGACAACGACGTACGCTTGTTCAGGCATCCGTGAAATGAAATGCATGGAAACTCAATTTCCCGTTGTTTCGTGAGCAGATCAAAAACCCGCGACCACCGCTAAGGGTAAAAACTTTCCCAAAACACCCGCATCACGCGACTCCCCCTCCGCGGATCGGTCTCGAATATATAAGTATACAAACCCTTATAAAATATTTAAGCCTTGTTATTTTTTAGAAGGATCCCCTGTCAATTTTATTTTGTCAACGTAGTTATTCACTTACATCGCAAGAATACTCATACATAATATAAAATAATACACCACTTATATTGTTGTTTTAAAATTCAGTTTTGTATAAAAAGGTAAGTACAAACTTAGTTGTTACTCTATCTTTATTCCCCACCTGCCCCTTCTGATATTTCGTTAAGTGTCTAAACACCTAGTATTCACGTATATGGTTTGAAGGATTTCTTAATGTTACCGTTACCGTTAAAGCCCATTGCTAAACATAGGCCTCCCCCATAAATTGCCTCATAAGCGGGATGGCAATCGTACTTTTTTATTTTTAGTCGTTATTTGGAAGACACTGCTGCCCATCTATTCATTTGTTTCCCTCTGTCGTCTTTATGTACGACACCTACGGGGTATATAGCGTAGTGAATATTTTTACGCTTCGGAATGTCATAGACTACATAACTGTTTAAAAATCAAACATTTAAAAGTCCCGCTGGGTTTAGCCGTTCGACAAAAACAAATGACATAAAAATAAGAAAATCAAAGATATAAAAGAAAGGTTTTATATGGATATCAGATAAAAATTAAAAATGCTACCAAATTTCTCTCGGGATATTTATTTATCCTCACAAAACCCTCTAAGTATAACTTTTCAATTTTTTTTAATATTTTAATGAGTTTTTGGATGCATTTTGGAAGAATATTAATTTTTAAACCTGATATCTGTGTTAAACTTTTTTTATCGGTCAGAAAAATTTACAATCATGAAAAGGACAATGCCAGAATCTCTACAGAACTTAGCCCCACCTAAAAATGTGGTGTACACCAATGCAGTATGCGTCATTTTTTTGCTGTTTTATTACTTTATTCAAATTGTATAAGTTAAAATTTCTAGAACTTGCTATTATTTTTTTAAATGGAACTTTTATAAATTTTCAGGCAGTAATAAAATATGTAAACAAAGATTTTAGGATCCGAAATAAACTTCCGTTGGGTAAATTTTGGATAATAAATGTTTTTTGTACAGTAGTAATGGTTAATAATTTAAAAATAAAAAAATATTTTTATAACAATTAACTGATTTAATTTTTTTTTCAATTTTTACCTGTTAATATTTAATTTAACGTTAAATTTCATTACAATTCTTTAATATTTAATTTTTTCATTTTTTATTTAGTAATTTAATTTTCAGTGGGGGTACATAATATTTATCTTTCTCTATTACATAGAGAACTGAACACACGCCTTTCTTTTTCCCGGCAAGCGTTTCACGCGCTGCTGCTATCATGTATCCTTCCCTACCGAACATAATAATATATACAGGGTTGTTTTTCAAAGAGTAGCCATATTTTAAACTTAATTTCAAATATATTATAAATAATAATATACCGTCATTGCAGTATTTGAAAATACGAGTATTTTACGTGGTAGAACCATGCTGCAGCTGTATTAGTAGTATAGTTGTAGCACGAATGGGTCGACTCAAACGGGGAAGGACCACGCTCTCACAGAATACCAGCGTAAAATAGCAGCTTAACACTGATGTGTTTCGTATGGTGAGTGTAGAAAACCGGAGACCCTTTTTACTGGAAAACAGGCATTCCATCTTAGTCCTCACGGGTAACAACGCATCTGCATTTTGATTCGTAATCGAAGATAGATGGGGATGTCTATGGATCACAGCAACCACTTACCATCAGGTGGACTGTGTGCTCGTTTGTCACCCTATTCTATAAGAAAGAAAAAAGAGTATATAGAGCCTCTACTTTTATTTGAAATTATCCCAAATTGAATGTGTTATTTTTGCCTAGTAAATAATCCATTACCACGCATTTTGAATTTAAAAGATAAAAAGGATAGAATGTTTGTGATTCTTAATAATTATTTTTTCTTCACCATTTGCCTATATTACTTATTTTGAACTTTCTCTGCAAATTTGGTTGGTTA